TTAATCCTGGATTGTTTAATGCAGGGGAAAGGTTTATTATCTGAGATGTCTGACAATTGAAATAATGGTCACTATTATAATTTATTCATGATAGTCAAATAAACTTTAATCCTAAGGTTTAGGGCATATTTGCGTCGACTATACCTTTATAATGTGCGGGCAAAGTGCTACGAAATTCGTAGCATAGAGTTATAAACTACAGATATTGCACCAACTATTACAAAATTATGCTAACATATTTATTTATCGTATGGATATTATTGAAAAAATAGAAAGAATATGTATGGCAATCATGATATTGTCATAATTTAAAAATTAAATGTGTGTTTTCTAACATTTATTTAATAATACTATTTGAGATGAATCAAATCTTGAACAGTGAGAATTATTGAGTTTTTTTCCAATAGATAGTTCATTCAAAGCCTAATTTATGCTGTTTTTGTATATTTATATAATACCCGTATATAAATATATAAAAACATAGCATAAATTTATAAACTTTATTCATTAAATATTATTAATGAAAATGCTTAAAAATCTATTTTGTCTCTGGCACTCTGAGATGGGATCCGAATCCATGACCTTTCGCAATCCGGGCGACTGAGCTACCCAGGATGTAAAAGGACGGACAATTTTTTTAAGCACTTGTTACTCTTTCGCAACTACAGAGCGTATTTTTATCAATGTTCAGGCAATCCATCCAAAAAGCCGAAAGGAATGTTTTTTACAAATATTTAAACCTTCGATAAAGATGAACATTTGTTCTAATTTATTATATTTGATCAATTTTTCATTCACAATACTATACTGAAAAATATTCTTAATAAATTAAAAAAAAATGGACTTTGTCCCTGGCATTATTATTTATTAATTTTATTATTTAAGTTAGCATAATGACAGATACACATAAACCACCAGTAATCATGATTTCAACTGCAGTTGGGAAATGCATACGTACTTATCTTAATTTTTAACAGAGATGCAAAACGATAAATAAATATTTAACAACATCACATACATTGCTCAGATTCCAAGATGAGTAGCTAAAGCCCCCGTATTATGGAGTATCTGAGACAACGAAGATCACACAACACCCAGACCCGAGACAATATAGAAAAGTTCATTTTCTACATTAACCCGACCGGGACCTCAGAGATGGCGACACCTTGAAACCGGCGTGCGAACCACTCGGCTACGGAGGTCGTCAATAATAGGATAATTGATTTATAATTGAATTCTGAACATATGTGGTAATTTAGCAGATAATAATTCTTGTGTAGTCAACAGTTCTATGTATAAACGATATATCTTAGTTATGTGTGGCCATCTTTAACTGATTATCTGCTCCATTGAAGATCTTCTCACATGACTTCCATTTGACGCAAGCGAGCTTAGAATCAGCTGAGCGGCTGCGCTCAAAACATATGTTCGGAAGTGCAAATGCTCAGTTGAGACTGGCTGTTGCGACGCGCCACTCGCTGCCAAAACACGGAAACGGGAGAACGCGCGCGAAATAACCGCTGCATTATCTATACTTTTAAAAATAACTCGTGATGTTCAAATTGTCCCCTGCGTTTTTAAAACAGGTACTACCTATATTTTGCTTTGACATTTTTATCTCTTATTATAAGCAAGAATTGTCTCTACCGAAGTGTTAAAGATTTTTCCTTAAATTTAAAAATAAGTTGATAGTTTTCCTTAGAAGAAATCTTTCGCATATAATTGGCATATGACAGAAGTTGCCTACAGTCGATCGGAGTCATTTTCCTTTTTTACTATCGTTTAAGGATCTTAATTTTCTAATATACCTCTTGAACAAATGAATGGAGTATTATCAATACTACTTTTGAGAACCTCCATAGCCGATAGATTTAAACCATGATTTCAATGTGGTTCCGGGTTCGACTTCTAGGCGGGTCAATGTAGAAGATAATCTTTCCTATATTATCATGGGTCTGAATATTTTGGTACTATTAATGTTAAATTTTTTTTATTAAGCTAACTTTTCTAAAAAACGTGGCTACAACATTTATGATATAGAAATGATATAGAAATTGGTATGCAAACAACTTTGTTAGATTTTGGTGTTCAAAATATAGTATTTTCACGTACTATATATTCCTCCAGAATAGTACACATACTCAAAATAGAGTACAATACTGTTCATGGCACTAATACTGCGATCTTCCTACTCACTTCTATTCGATTTCATCCTTATTGAAGTCCTGTGCCACGATGGTGATGGTGATTTGGTTATATATAAAAGTAATATATATATACCTACCTACGTACGTGCGTATATCATACAAAGATATAAAACAATTCTTATTTTTCTCACGCTGCTCTGATTGTAACAATAACATTATGATTATGTATAGATGTAATTTGTAAATGTATATCGAGTTAAAACTCGAAAAGAGAAAAGCTAAATATTATATACTATCTTTTTCCCCCGTTATACTATGTATGCTTAGATTTTAAAAAGGCATTTTTTCTATGATTGAACGTATTCACAACCAGTAAATGAAAACAAGAAAATCGTCACTGGTAAGAGATTAGTTATTTATACTATAATAAAACAGTAAAAATAGTGTGTCTGTACATTAAATATATTTCCTTAAAATTGATTCAGGGTGACACTAAAGCACCGACAGAATACAGCGTCTGTCTGTTTGTATGTATTAGGTAATCTAATCAGACATCGTTTAGGCTATAATTCATTTTAGTTTCTGGTCTCCATCATATGGAACTCTAAGAGATCGACGACGATTGAAATACTGTCATAAGATAAACAGAAATGACGCCACAGCAAAAATTGTTCCATCTGATAAGCATATTTTGCTGCGTGATTAAAATTTGAAGATTTGAAACCTCTTATGTGAAACTCTAAGAGTCCGCTGCACTATAACATATACGGAAATGATGTCTAACAGAAGTTGTTCAAAGTGCTCATTCATTTCTGTTGACTTATAAAAATAGAAGATCTGAAACATGTGATGTGAAACTCTAAGGGACCACTAACACTATGACATATACAGGACTGAGGTTTTAGCAAAAATTGTTTAGTTCGATGGGTATTTTCTGTAGTATTTAAAATTCGAAGATTCAGAACACTTTATAAGAATTACCAAAAGCTCAGTATCACTATAACATTTAAAGGGATCACGTATAAGCGAAAGTCGCTCAGTCTGATGACCATTTACTGCTAACTTTAACGCCATCGGCTTATAATTTATGACACATTTCACTTTGCTGCTATACGTAGGGTGTAAACAAATTATCTCATTAATGGAAAATATTAGTTTTTGCACCTATTGCTCCATACAATTCGAGGACCAACTTCATTTACTTTTTACCCGACTACAGCGAAGCGAAAAGTTATGATTTTGGCCAGTATGTATGTAAGAATGTTCATCTGTTCTCTTATAACCTCCAAACTACTCATCGTAACTGGACAAATGAGGTATCATTAGAAGCGTCTTAGTTATTCGCGTACTATAGGCTATGTATTGGTACATTAAATTGGTAACAGCTCCCTCTAGGGAGCATATAGTAAGAAACTAAAAAAATATATTATTCATTCATTCCGTGTAGGATATCAAATGTAAGGGCTTACTTAGCACATTTCAAATATATTACCCGATTGAATTTTTTAAATTTACTTATTACAAGTGGTTTACCCGCTCACAAAATCAAGTCCAAAGTTAGTGTACCCATGCTAATGAGAAACCTTTCTCCTCGAAGTTTTGCAACGGAACCAGGCGATTATAATTTATGCGGACGAAGTAGAGAGAAAACAGCTAGCTATTTATAACTCTTGTGTTTTTATTATATTTGATAAATATCGCATTCATAATGCTATACTTAATGAAAAAATGCTTAAAAAAATCATTTGGTCCCAGGCACCCTGGGATAGATTTTTTTAAATAAATTTATAATGCAAAAGGTAATATTTTACTTTTAATTTTTCCTTAATTATATATTTGTCTATATAGTGTTGCGCTACAATTGGCAAAAAAATAACAGACAGGTTTGAAGTTCTAGGAAGGTGAGCATTAGTGTGCGTGAGTACTGTTGTTATTGTGTAAGTAATGAATTAAAACAATTATACAGTTTTTGTGAGAAATATTATTTATTTTTAATATTTTATCTCCAGATTATTTCTAAAAAGTTTATCTACAATAAAACAATTATATCTAAAATATTCCTTCTTTATCTAAGCTTATTGCTTATTGCAAGCACTTTCGAATCGTCCAATAATTCTTTCTATATACCTACAATATTACCCGTTAAGGACGTCTTTTGATTGAATTTACATAGTATATGTCACTACCAACATATACTATGTAAATTCTTACTTAAAGCTAGGTAATAATATTATAGAATATTTATTATATCTATAAAGAAGGCCAATTACATGTTTCCACTTATATTGTTTGTTTAATTATTGTTTAATTACCATTAATTACCACAATAGAAAAAACAGACGACAGCTAAAAGCAACAAAATTAAAATTATAGTAGGTTAACATTTAAGATTAAGCATTACTTTATTTTACTTTATATTTCATTATTTATGTTTATTTATAGCTCGAGAGAGAAAAAAAAGAGAACCAATTCACTTATCAAAAAAATTGTCTACTAAAAGACCTTTAAGTTAGTTTAATGAAGTATTAAATAAATCGATGTCAACTTTTGCCTTGATCAAAGTGAGTAGAACGTTTCAAATGCTAACATTTCGGGAATGTAAAATCTTCATATTTTCACAAAAAAATAAAACAACTGATGATCTATAAAAACATGTCTATTTTCCGTTTTATAAGTCCTGTTATATAAGCGACGATAAAATATAAGTGGAAAATCAAAGTCTGAGATAAATAAAGTAAGTGGTTCCTGACAAGTGTAGCACTGATAAGTATAAATAATATTATAATGCAATTTGTCAGATAAATTTTATGATATTTTTTTAACCCACTTAAAAGAGGAGGTAACCGTGTCACAATGAAAGTTAACTGGTCAGTATTCAAGGTATGTGTCAAGGCGAGGGAGAGGTGCATGTGATTGCATAAAATTTCTATGTTTGAGTGTACATATATAAGCTTTTTATCACTTTGATATAATGGTTTTGAAGAATTAAAGGTTTTTAATTCATATAAGCATTACTTGCAGGTTAGGATGTGGCTTCCGATTTGTTCAGATTAGATAGGTGATATGATATTAATTTCTCTTGGTGTTATTGCTGTATTATACATTTTTTTTCAATATCAAGACACACATAAAATGTATAGATTATACTTGTATAGGTATAAAAAAACATAAATGACACTGCTGTAGATGGTAATGACAACGTTTTCTGAAAATTACTTCTGTGGATTAATTGAGGACATATAGACTTTGAAATAGAAGTATATTTATTGGAACATAAGGTAATGACAGTAATTGAAATTTAAATTTATAAATAGTATTATATTATACATTGTTAGGCACTCTTCACACGTGCATTGTTCCGTGACCTTGAATAAGATTTTGCTGCCATTCCCATATATGTGTTTATCAATAAGAACGAATAATATTTGTGACGCATCATACAAATATTATTCTTTAAACAATGGGAATAATAGCGAGGAAATAAATAATATATATATGTATCTTTTAAAGTCACTGCGACTTAAGGTCACAGAACTTTCATCCAGTGCACAGGGCAAAATAATTTCCTTGGTGCACGGGTTGTGATTTAGTGGACTATGTAAAGAAAAAAAGGCAAATAGACCGAAGCATTGTATCTAACTCTTTGAAATAATATACTGTGGTGTATTAAAATACCTACTTGCGAGTCGATATGAGCTCACACGCACCAAAAAGAAAGTGTGGTTATTATGACCTTTTCTTTGTGCGAATTCCTTTGTAAATAAGTTAAATGGTTGTACTTATTTTACCTATTATTACACGAGTTTAGCTATAAGGAAATAGGATTACTAATAGACAAACCAGTTTTATTTATTTATTTATTTAATCTACCAGTCAAACCGGTGATGATGTACAGAGCATTCAAAAGGCAGTATCATAAAAGAACAAATAAAGCTACAATTTCTAACGAACACACTACAAATACACACTAAAAACATATATAAAGGTACATACATACAAATAAATAAATAAATATATATATACATACACATTAAACAATCAAGAATCAAGTCAGACTAGGATACATGAATTGATTGGAGATAATAAGTTTTATATGACACGTTTCAAATAAAAGCTTATTTTTAAATGTTGTTATAGTTCATAATCATGTTACATCGAGAGGATAGTTGTGGAGGCGTAGTTATTATTTAAATTGCAGTCAGTTCCACAGACGTCCATTAAAATAGTCATTAGTTTAAAGCGATAATACCTATACAAATTTAACATTCATTGGAGCTTAAAGGCGCCATGAAACCTTAATGGATGTTTGTGCAACTGACCGATTTATTAGTGATTATCAGATTGAAATTTTAAAATATTCAACAGCTAGGATATTGAATATATGTCTCAGTTTACTGTCACCCGTCTCAGTACAAGTTATGGTAATTAGCGATACGATGATCTTTTTTTTAAATATCGCAGTAAATAAATAAAACACCCAATATTAAAAGTGAATCGATTTTTAACGTCGGGAATCTCAATATGCGTCGTAGAAAGTAGTCAAATAAAACCGAGCTTAGAGGTAATATTTTTTTTGATTCTTTATTAGAACGCCAACTAAACGTTTTATCATTGGTTTTGTTTGAAATTAAGCTCTTAATTTTAAGTGGTCATCGACCACCGAAATGGCGTTCATAACATAGTTAAATTTTATCATCAATTTGGTGGTTTATAGTAAAGCTAATTATCAGTAACTTTAAATATTTAGAGATACTCAATTTTCCGGTAATTTGCCTATAAATAATATCTCATGATCACTTTATAGAAAAGTAGGGGTTTTCCTGCATTTCGCCGCGTAAACTATGAACCATGTTACTGGCGTATGTGAAAGAATTTTTCAGTAATTCGATTCAGTAATTAGTAGTATAGATATTTACCTTACTGCAGATTTACACATTCCTTTAGTCAAAAATAATCAAAATCAAAGTAAAAAAATACGCGTGTATTTATTAAGAGAATAGCTATTGCCTCACTGGAAAACTTACTCATCAAAATTTTTTGTCGAACGTCGCCAAGCGTTATCTAAATTTAGATCCTTAGTGCTAGATCCTAGATGATTTTTTATGACCTAAGGATCCTAGATCCTTAGGTCATAAAAAATCACTCTCAGATAAAATTCGATTACAAATTGATTGATTGAATAATTGATAAATGATTTATTTCTTGCCAAAATACACACATTACATTTCATTTAACAGAAAAATAAATAAATAAGTATGTAGATGAGACAAATGAACATTCGAAAAAAAATGTGTGTGTGCGTCACAGCAGTACACAATGGTCCCAGCTTAGCGTCAAGTATTCACGCGCATGCAATGCGAGCGAATCGCTGATTTTCAGCTGCAACCAAGAGTGAGCGCAAACACGGTACTGAAACTAACCAGGATTAAATTTCAATGTAAATCAGTTAAAACCATCCTAAATATTATATTTTATAGATAGAAAATAAATAAAATAAATAGAGAAATATAAAATCTATTAGTAAATATTTTATTGAATAATAATTACTATATTCATTACAAAATTTGAATCAAATTATTATATTATTAAAAACAAGTTAAATTATATAATTCGTTATTATCATTAATAAATAATACATTTAAATCAGATATGTATATTGAACACCAGTCAATAAGTTAAATAACAAAAAATCATGTTTCCGCCACCCGTCAGAGTGTTGGAACACCTAATTTTTGTTTATCTAGCAGATATGACTTTAATAAATTTTGTAAAACAATATTTATTTTTCAAAAACCTTAGTGGTGGTGGGATATTATTCCAATACTTTTTGAGTGAATTTTTTTTAATTAATAATGCTATACAAGTTACCGAATAAATTAACTCCAGAATATATTAGAAAGTGTGAAACATTTGAATATCGACTTTCAATTGTTTTTGTTTTTCAATTTAGACAAGAAAGATGGATCAATGTTGCGTTTGGTCTACTAATGAGCGCACCGTGCGATTTTGGTTTAAACGCTTTCGTGATGAAAACTTCAACTTGAAGAACGAGTCACGAGGAAGACCGCTTACACAGGTGAATAACGATGAATTTAGGAGATGGTGAAAGCTGATCCTAGTCAAACTACCCAGGAATTAGCGGCATGGTTTAACGTGACCTTACCCACAATATTGACTCTTTTGCGTCAAATCAATAAAATAAAAAAATACGGAAATGGTTGCCTCATGATTTGACTGATCGGCAGAAAGAAACGCGTCTTGAAACTTGTGTTGCGTTGTTGAATCGATCAGAAATGAAGGAATATTGGATCGAATTGTGACATGTGATGAAAAGTGGATTCTTTATAATAACCTTAAAAGAAAAATGCAATGGTTGACCCCAGGTCAAATGCCACAACAATGTCCTAAAGCAAAACTTACCTATAAAAAGGTAATGGTAACTGTTTCGTTGTCTTAGTATAGTATAGTGTTATTCGCTAAAGTTTTCTCCGATCTGTTGAAGCAATAACGGCAGATGTCTATTGTGCCGAACTCCGAACAATGTTGGCAAAATCTTCACCATTATTGTTCAATGACATCGCGAGACCTCATACAACACGAGAAACCGTTTTGACCCTTCAGGAACTGCAGTTAGAAACCATTCGTCATCCTCCGTATTCGCCAGACCTTGCTGCAACGGACTACCATTTTTTCGCGATTTGGACAATTATCTACGCGACAAGAAGTTTTCTTCCCAGGAGGTAGTACAAAATGCTTTCACACAGTTATTGCAGTCTAGATCCTCAGAGTTCTATCGCAAAGGCATAAATGACCTTCCTATTAGATGGCAGTAATATATAGATAACAATGGTAACTATTTTGTTTAATTAATTTGTTAAAAATTAAAACTAAACAATTTTGATTTTCAGTACAAATCGGCAATTTCATACTTTGACCCCTATTATAAGTAAATCCTATCTATTCTTTTCAAGCCCAAAACCTCTAATTAGGATTGTCAAATAGTCGGGATTTTGTCTGGGTTGTTATTTCTTATGATGTCCAGAGTCCCGAAAAACAAATATATTCCGAAAAAATTGTTAGATTTCGTAAAATCGAAGTCCAAGTATATGTTGTTTTAATTTTAAAAAAAGGTAATCATATGTGACAATTAAAAAAAAAATGTAATCAGTAAGTATATTAGCTATTGTGTATTTGTGATCTCATAATTTGCCAAAAAGTAGATACTTGTTTTTAATTTTTAATTAATAATATTTCAGGTTAATATCTCTTGTCCTGACTGTAATCCCAAAATCCCGACCTTACAAATTTTGCCCAGATATTTTAGTCTCTCCATGTAGCAACCCACCTCTAATGTTGCTGCAGAGCAATGTTAGATGCTATATTTTAAAAAGAAAATAGTTCTGTTTGGACGAATGGGGATAGGAAGAATATAAAAATGAAATATTTATGTATTATTCTTTAAATATATATAAATATTTATTTAGAAATGTATCATATTATTATTAAGTAAAATAGATATTGTAACATTATTATGAAAGAATAATTGAATATTTTTTCTTTACTGTAAAAATAGATTATTCCGAACTATTTTTATTGTAACTGGGTACTTTTACAATCGTCTATAGACATAAACACGCCATTTACTTTAGCGAGCGTCTAACAAGAACCATTATGGTGCATCAATGACCTTGTGCACTCGACATAACAATGTGACATGCAATGTCTCTCTTCCGTTAGTCTATTCATGCATTTCACTTGCTTACACTTTAGGTAACAATAATAGGGATGACGACTGAGTAAAAATAAAGATATTCTTTTTAAAAATATTAGATAGTTTCTTTTAGTAAAGGGTAGCCTGGTAGAAATTGCTACCTTAGCAATAAGGCCGCCTATTGCATCTGTGTTTTTTATTATATTAGTTTCATAATTTTGTTTTTCTGGGCAATAAAGTATATTCATTCATTCATACGTAGTTTTTTTTACTTCAATTTACTAAGTAATAGCTTAGCAACGGGCATGAAAGTTGGGGAGTGGGGGCTCGCTACGACAAAGTTTTGTAGAAAATGTACAGAAGTGTGACGTCATGTGACATTTTAAGTCAATGTATCGCCTTAATTAAATGATTACAAAAAAAATACGTGTTAAATATTTTTAAACGATCTCACCTCACGGATAAACAGACAATAATTAGTCTAGTCTATTACTTAGTGTTTTTTTCGATTAATATACTAAGTCTGGGTGTTTCATGGAAGCATTCATCATTTTCATCTTCGCATTATCACAAGCCCATTAATGTCCCCATTGCTGGGGCACAGGTCTTCCTATGGATGAAATCAAATAGGAAGAATGTGTCATAGATCACCACGCGGGTCCAGTGCGTACTGGTGGATGTTAGAGACTGTAGATACAGCTCGGATATGAGTCATAGAGCATATTGATGCTATAATTATAGTAGTGTTATTATAAGATGTTTAAATTAATTTTCGAAGCCCCAGATATGTTTTTAAATGCCATTCACTATTGATTTTTGGTACCGATGAACCAAAAATCATCTTAAGGAATCGATTATTTAGTTCGTTTGGTCTGTGTTGGTGGCGGTTTTAGCAACTCTCACAGAGGCCGCACCGGTCGTGAGAGAGTTGACCCATCTTTTTTTACAATTGATCGGTAAAGATTCCTCTAATAGTTTTTACAATAAACAGGTCAATTGTTATATTAAATTATTATTTTAATTAATTTACAATTGTCACTATAATGTCACCAAATAATGATCTCATTCTTATCCCGTTTATCGAGCTTCTCTAGCATTTCTCGAGCATCTTAGGTGTTATTGCGAAATGATGTTGCGATAAACTTAAAAAATAGCCTTGGCTGATCAAAGAGCTAATAAGGAAGCTTCTAACGGTGAGTGATTACACGGATAATGTTCGCCAATGCACTGTGCTCGCATCGACGAACTCACTGAGAATATAGGCGCCTGTGGGCGTTTGTACTACGACAGTCAGGCACTGCAGACACATTGGTGCTATGCGTCTAATTTATGATGTGGACCAACGGCATATAGTTAGCAAGTAAATATCACAATATTTTATTTATATCTATAAGTATGGATTTTCGATAAACGCGTACCGAGTCAACTGTCAATTTGACAGCTCTGTAAGTGGACTATAGGTAGAGTAACTACTACAACGATCGCTATTAATCTCGAGACTGCACGCTCACGACGTTTTATTGCTTTTGCAACTCGATTATTCTCAATATTTCGCTATTCATTCAGAAGTTCCAGGATGTTCCTTTTCTGCACCCGTCGTCTGATGCTCTGTTTCCGTTTCTTGTTACCATTGTGAAGAGTAAGTGTGTTTTGAGTGAGGAGTACAGGAGAAATCTGATGAAAGAATTGAATAAAAGAATATTGACCAGATTGATTTTAGGAAAGTGCTTTAATTTTAGGGCTTAATATGGTTGGTTGGAGTTCATGAACTGCATGAATGCATATGATAAGATCCTTACTTACTATATATATACACCTAAATGCGAAGGTACCTTACTCTGTGAGTGTGTCTGTTATGTTTTCAATACTGAACCAATTGTAATGAAATTTGGTACACAGCAGAATGGATATTAGTAAAGAACATACAATAGTTTTGGTGCGATAATAACTGAAGTCCTCGCGGGTGAAGCCGTGGGCAGAAATCTAGTTATTATATATTTGTCAGTCCAGTCAGTTTCGATCTTCCGTCAGATATGCACCAACTTCAATCTAATGCTAATAGGTAATAAATGCATTTAGGGGTGAAATTCCGAAACTTCACATAAGTGGATTTTTAAGAAATAATAACGTAATTTTTATTTGACTAGAAGATTTTTACCTAACTTGAAGACTCGACGTTTTTTTCCCTGACCCTGATTTAGGAAATTGATTGTCTATCATACAGACGCGAAACTTTTAGATTTTATGTAAATTAAGTACTTTTTTATTTGTTCACAGTTATGGCTGACTTTTGGTGCTTCATTAGCGTTCTTGATCATTGGCTTGGTGAGAGGTTACTCAGCGTCAGCTATACCATCGATTGAAGCTATAGATCCTGAAATGATACAGAGTAACGAACGAAAGTCTTGGATGGGTAAGAATACAATAAGGTATATTTTTTACTATAGTTGCTAAGATTTATATTTTTTTTTTGTATATGATTTTCACTTGATACATAATATCATCTAAATACTTAAATTATCTATCATATATAAAGTCACCAAAGCCAAGTAGGTAATATGCCTTGCCTACGTGGTTGCAGACTTTTTGTCTCAATATATTCTTCATACATTCCAGTACCTACTCTATTATTAACTGTCTTTTATTTTTCAGGTGCTATTCCACCATTAGGCGCTTTTGTAGGAAGTCTGTTATCTGGAACACTGATGCAGCGTGCCGGTCGTAAGAGGGCGCTGCAACTCACTGCTCCATTGTGGGTCGCATCTTGGCTCCTGATCGGCTTCACTAAATATTTTGCTCTTGTTTTGGTGGGCAGGTGGCTGTCCGGCCTTTGTGTTGGTTTCATTTTAGCACCAGCACAAGTATATGTAAGTGGACACTCATATTAGAGCTTCCAATTTTGATGATATTGGGTAAATATCACAGTTTCGTTCTTTATTTATGGTCATTTAACGTTGCCGATTTGATGATTTCTTTATTAATAAGAAGGACATTATTTCCGCAAAAGTTATTCCTGAAAGCCTTGGGATCTTGGAATATACATATATTTTGTGTTTCTAAACAAAGATAATCAATATATGTATTTTAATTGAAAATTAGGTCAAAAATGTCGCTATGATATCATTATGATTACTAAATAGGTAGTAACATAGCTACATTTAAAAATATTGCATTAGAAAAAATATTTTCATAAAAATAAATAAGAAGATCAACGCCATCTTTTGATAGTTAAAACAAATGATAACCGAAATACTGGAGGATGGCCACTACCCATATAATTAACTACCACGACCACTATCCATATAACTAAAAGTCTTTATAAGTATTTTTTATATTCACTATAGCAATTAAGTGGGATAAAAAGATCATTTGTTGTCAGATTTCCTTAAAGCAACAATAATAAAGTGATTTTATAATGACCAGGAAAACGTAAATGGAGCAAGAAGTTTGAAACAGTGACGATGATGACATATCTGTTTTAATATCGTCTTTAAATAGATATATTAACAAACGATAGGCTAAAGGGGTTCTTTATTAAGATGAGTTGCTTTGACTATAATCGTTTCTGTGTCACAATATTATCGTTTGAACGGGCGATTAATGTCTGTTGTGTGTTTTCCTATTGATAATAATTGTTATCTTACGTATAGATACGCAATGGTCATAATTACAGTCATCATCACCAGCCTATTCACGTCTCCCCCTGCTGGAATTCTGGCCTTCCCTATAGATGGAATCGAATAGGGAAAGTGATCTCAATGAACCGTTAGGTAATATTTTTAGTGAAAAATGCTTAAAAAACGATTTTGTCCCTGGTGCTCTGAGATGGGATTCTAACCCATGACATTTCTCAATTCGGGCGACTGGTCTAACCACTGCGCTACCCAGGACCTAACACAAAATAAATAATAATAAGAACCATTAGGTACTGAAAAAAAAACAACTGTTTACAAAAGAAGAATGAGCTCTCTAAGAATGCGGAAAATAAGCCGTTGACAACCGCTTAGAAACAAAAGACAATAGTAGGCTGTATTTTACATTAAATATAATGTCCTTGTCTATTTTGACTATTTTAATAATATTGAATATGTATGTCCTAAGCTCACTAGGTGAGAGAGCTCGATGGCGCAGTGGATAGTGCGTTCGGTAAGCGATACGGAAATCAAGCGACTTTTACAAGGGCTGGTCTAAAAACGGTGAAAAAAATTTTCTCGAGCTACTCTTTGCTTCGGAAAACACGTTAAGCCGTTGGTTCCGGCTGTTTTTGATGACATTAAAACCCACCATTCCGCACTCAGTCGGCGTGGTGGGTCATGGCCCATTCTTTCTATTCAATCTAAATACATTCTATCCATAGGCAATACCTGTATCCCAATGGTTATTATTAGGTTGAAGAAGAAATGAAGTTTATTTCTTGGAGTTTGTGTTTTGCAGTATATGTTAGACTTTAATGATCTCTGCTGCGTCTGTAGTTTATCCGAACAATGATAGCACGGTGGGTAAATATGATTTTCCTCAACATGATTTTATTATGGAATGTTGTCCTAGATCATCACTGTGAATTAAAGAGTAGGCCTCTTTGCCGCATGGTAATAATTATGAACTTGACAAATAATAAAAATAAACTTGCAGTTATATTGTAATTGAATTTAAGCTTACCTTTTTCTAAATTTATCGTGGTTTTCTATGTATTCTATTATCACCGGAACTATTTAGCTGTTCAATTTCCTAGTCGAATTGTAATGTGGATTTAGTGCTACGAGTATTTTATAGTTTATACTTATGTTTGTAACGGGTAAATTAAACATTTAACTTTCGACTCAGATCATCTTTACAATTATAAAAAAAAAATACTTATATATAATGCATATTTTTAATAACCAGAATAGTTATTACGTGACGTTGTCCATGTAAATTCGCTGCGTTTTAAAAAAATCGGCCCAGTAGTTTGATTCCACGAAATGTTTCCTTTTATAATGTTAGAATTGAGACTAAAAAAGATGTGTAAAGAAATATTAAATAAAGTTATGTCTAAAAATTACCTTATTAATTTCCTAAGAATAGGTTTTTGTAACCAAAGAGATTGAAATAGCTGTAACATCTTTGGTATTCCATATTTTGTATATTCAATTATTGTCATTTTTAATACCAGCTGTTTATACATTTATATGTATTGTTATAAACATAACAATACATATTATAAATAATAATGCCATTTGAGACCTATTTCTGTGCCCATTTAGGTATTGATATTTCTTGGCAGCAATAATTCATCCTACGTCAATATCCAAAAAGTAGGTTGTATATTTTTTTCACCAGCGCCTTAGGAAGGTCTCATCATAACGTTGGGAAGGGCAGAAGAATCCAATTTTAACGAATTCCTCCCCTTTGTCGAGGTTAGAGGGGTAGGGGGGGGGGCAGTATATTAGCGACTTGATCACGGCTTCCCAGGTCTCATTGCCCAGCAAAGGGTACACCGTAGGGGTTTTGGTAGGTAGGCCTCCGGAACAATTATGATATAGGTTATGACGTAAGCCATTGTTCACCGTTTCGTATATGACATAAAATCACATGCACAGGATATGACTGAAAATTACCACAATACGTCAAACTGCGACTGATTTAAAACTCTACCGGTACTGCATTAAGGTTTAAAATCAGCCGGAAATTTGTAATTTTTGAATAATCTGGCGAGTTGTTAAGTACATACTTATGTGTTTTATTCATTATGTTCAATTTGTATTTTAATATATTAGCTTGGTTATTTAGTGGGAGGTTGGTTTTGTCAATGATAATTATATGATTGGTTCCAGGTGAGCGAATGCTGTGACCCTGAAATACGTGGCCGTCTGGGCTCTTTGCCGACGTTATCCATGTCGTTGGGGATCTTGCTGTCGTACATCGCAGGCAACTGGCTGTACTGGAGATACTTGGCGTTTTTCTCATGCATATTTTGTGGTAAGTTTGTCAGGTATCTGTTATCGACTTTTACTTTATCTTTGCAAAGAATTGCAATGATAAAGTAAGAAGGGGAAAGTCAAAAGGGGAAATTGCATTTTTACCAACTTTACTTGCTTTAAGACCCAATATAAAATAAATAAAAGATATTGAACAACACACTCACAAGGCAGGAAGGAAAAGAGAGATCTGATCTGATCTGACCTATGATATATTGGCAGTTACCTGATGTGGCCTGATGTAGCGTTTGTGTAAAATATAATAATTTTCTCTGTCGACCCAACCGGTAATCGGGACTTTAGAGATAACGACCGATAAACCGACGTGCAAGCCACTCGACCTCAGAGGACATCTAATATTAATAGGTCTATTATTATAACAAAACACTAAGTTTGGCATCGATCACAATAAAAAATGTACATAAGAAATAGTTACATACATATTTATATTATTCACTGGCTGTTTTGCCGCTTTCTATCATCCGCATATAGCCTAGCTATCCGCAGCTGAAAGAATTTTCATAACCGGGTCTGTATTTTTGAAGATTACCCACGAGGCCTCTACAAACAAATAAAGTTAGAAGCTGTATCTCTTTATTTATAATTAAGTATTGATAATTACTAGATTTCTTGTATATACTCGATTATATCACTAATTATTTTAAATTGATCTCAAAGAACTTTAAATATTCATTCCAGTGGCATTATTTCTGGTTTTGCTGCCATTACCAGAGTCACCAGTATGGTTAGAATCTCAAGGGGCAGATCCTTCGCAAGCAGTTAAATGGCTCCATCTATCATCTCGAGCAACAGCTACTGTTAAAGAAAATTCAGAGTAAGTAAGAGTTAATACGTAATTACAACATTTTTAACATCTATAGAAGCTGAGATACATCGCTCGCTACATGTTATTTTCTGTCTTTAGATAAATTTATTTGGATTAAGATATTTTGATTGACTTTTTGACTCTCTTAAAAACGGCTAGCTTGTAAAAAAAAGAGATAACTGTTTCACAACGTTATTTTATCGATTAAATACAATGATTTATTTCATTACAACATTTTATAGTTTGTAAAGATTTGTTTTATTTTTCAGGAAAGGTGAAGTTGCATCACCCCCGTCAAGTTTGTTCACGCGCAAAGTTTTCTTCTCTTCTGTAGTGATAAAACCTCTAATAGTGGGCTTTGCTTTGCTTTTCTTCCAGCAGTTTAGCGGCATAGATGCCGTGATTTTCTTCACTGTCGAAATATTTGAATCTTCAGGTAAATAATTTTGTAAAAAATTACATCTGTACTCTGTAAACAGATTTATCGCGTATATTTTAGAAAAAATATCGTAAATTTTTATTTCATATGTAACGACTAAATGTTGGATGACGTTTTTAGACCGTATATATTCCTTGAAAACATTACACGTATAAAGATGCACAAGGCTCGCAACGCAATTCTTCTGCCGTAAAAAGTTCTCGATAAATGTAATGATAAATCTAAATATGGCTTCCTGTTGACAATTTTATTATGATGTTTGTTTATTTACTAGCGTGTGACGTCGTAATGGCGGTGTATGGTAGACACAACGTAGTTTCGAAAAAATATCTTCGAGAAAAGATGATATGGCCGTGTCCCTTTTACTCTTTTCTCGACTTGGCTTGAGCACTATGCGGCTCAAAATAAAGAAGCTGCATTAAAAAACAGCGGCATTTTTTAATTGAAATATGATAAGGCTATGAAGTATACTACTCCTACAAATCAACATGACACTTAGAGGCTATTTTATTTCACCGAAAACGCTCCGGAATTCCATCTAGTTTCGAAACGTTAATATGACTCCCGACTTTTAGATGATTTATGATGCAATAGAGGTATATTTAAAACTGCCTCTGATGTACGGATAATATTTGCGAATTGACCGTTTAAATTTTCCGAATTTTCGTAGGAGAACAATTAGAATAAGCCCTCATCATGTTAATTCGTTTATGTTATAAATCTTACACAATACATCGTAACGTTGTCTCTACCGATAGGCTACGGCTATTAGTAAAAAATACTGAATAATTACATTTTCAGTCATGTTTACTCTTGCCTCACGATGACAATGTTCGCACGTATAATTTGTAGCCATTTACCACACACAGATGCGTTAATTTAGATTTGAGACAATCGATTGTCAGCTAATATTTTACTTCTGAATGTCTGAATAATTTGCCACTTCAGGAATATTGTAAAATACGGTGTAGTTTATTATGTACGATAAATTTACATGACAATGATGTATTAAGCATAAGTAATGTCCACTTAAAATTCCAAAGCCCGTATTACAGACACAGTACAATGAACTGCAAAAAATATCCATGAAAAATATTTGAATAAAATCCTCAGTTGGATAAATCATACAAATATCGTATATACATCGTAAAGAGTATGAGCGGCAATAGTTCAATAAATATCTAAGATAAATCTATTTATATATTGAATAAAATATATGCCTGAATTATCATTTATAAATGGTTTATTTTACTGTTTAAGATAATGTTATCATTATAGTTTTAATACTCAGCGTTGTCAATGCAAAACGATTTAGATTTTTTCTTAACGATAAAGAATTTAGATACTTAGGATGGAGAGGTATTTACAATTTTCAGGTAGCAAATTAAACGCTATGACGGCTACTATAGTCGTTGGCTTAGTCCAGCTTGTCATGAATGGCGTCAGTACTATGCTGGTGGACCGCGCAGGTCGGCGACCCCTACTGTTAATATCGGCTGCCATCATGTGTGTGTCTATGGCATCTATGGGTGCTGCATTTTATTTTGAATTCGAGAACAGCACTTGGTTAGGGTAAGTATATTTTATTCACATTTACACGTAGGAGTTATTTACTAAACTATAGTTATTGTATAAATATGTGAATAATTGGATATTATACCTAGTAAGTAAACTTAGACATTAGAGGCGTTAGAAGAAATCGATGATTTAACAACTAGTGCTTTCGGTCTGCGATCGGTGACCAAAAATTTTACTATCTCAAGCTTCCCCGGTTTGTAAAGCACGAAACTGAAGGCTGTTCGGGTTGTTCCAGGTTTCATACTATGGTTTTGCCCCAGCAGTGAGAGAATGCATACGCTCAAGAAAATTATATTCATTCTAGGAGTTTTTATCTTGACTGCAAGTACATGAAACTGATTTTTGCCTTCCCTCAAACAATCTTATATACAAAGGGGCAAAAAATTTCGTAACTTGTACCAAATTTTGAAACATTGAGTAAAGTTAAAGTTAAAGGATGAGCAATGTTCAATTTTAGTTCAAGCAATGTATAAAATAAATTTAAACCTATAAAAATTATGTTCACAAAAGAGGTAATTAGTGTTGTAGTTAAAGTGTGTTTCTAAAACTAAGATATTTAACAACTTTTAAGTCCAGTTACTACCTCCTACTCAAAAAAAGGTTTCTGACACATGTAAGGTAATTCCTTTTTTTTTCTATCGATACATCAGTTTTTATTAATTGTAATTAAAAATCTTTCTCAAAGGTATCTCCCCATCGGTAGCCTGGTGACATTTATGATCGGCTTCTCACTTGGTTTCGGTGGGTTGCCGTTTCTGCTCCTCGGGGAACTGTTCCCTACACATTACCGGTCGCAGCTGTCCGCTATGGCCAGTTCTGTCAACCTGCTCTCTATGTTCACCGTCATTAAGACATATCATGCACTCGAGGTAAGTTAAAGTTTACAACCTTAAAGATATAAAACTATCGTAACAAATTTACCATATAAAACTATCGTAACAATTATAAAAAAGATAGCCAATTATAAACTTGACATAAAATATCAACCTATTTTTATCCGACTATAAAATAAAAAAGAAGGAAGTTATACAATAAAAAATATTTCCCTTGTTTGTTACAATTACTATAAATTTATATTCACGTAGGAATAAAGATTTACAGTTACCGTAATAGGTAACTAAATCTCTATTTACTTTTAAAAAGTTGCTATATGATTTTCTAAATTATTTCAGACGGTGTTAACGTCAGCGGGCACGTTTTGGATGTACTCGTGTTTTTGCTCTCTCGCCTTCATCTTCGTTTTGTTCGTGGTGCCCGAGACTAAGGGCAAATCTTTAGCTGAAATCGAACAACATTTTCGCGGCTCAAAGGAAAAAGACGCAGTCAATATGCAAACAGTATCTAGCGTATCTTAGTGTGTATTCGATTGCTTTACTTACTATTTTAAAGCATAACATTTACTATGTGGATATTTCAAACAATTTGCATGTGAAACGTAACTGACAATTATGCTTTATTTGTGTATTACAAAATAATAATAGTCAATTGTTTCATATTTTGTGTCATAGTTAGAAAACTAGCAGACCGCTTACTCTCTCGCTAGAAGTCTAGACTTTATGGCTAGATAAAAACGATTTATTTATTTCATTAATGAATTTGTTGATCATCATCCTTATGATTTTTCCTGGAGGATGAGTGGAGGGTATTAACAACTGCAAATGCAATCGGGACAGCGGCTTAACGTGCCTTTCGAAACACGGAGTAGCTCGAGTTAATAAATTTTTGATCACCCATTCCGTGACAGACCCTTGCGAAGGTTGCTTAACAACAAAGATCGGGAGTCGCGACTCTTATCCACTACGCCACTGAGCTACTGTATCTGTTGATGCTCCTATATAATTTAATGTTATTATTATTATTTATATGTTTGATTATATATTTATTTTGTATATTTTTCTTTTCGAAATAACATTTTTTAAATGTATGGCCGTTTTCACTAACCTAGAACAAGGCATAACATAACTAGGAAATGCCTTATATTATGAATCGTCCAAGTAGATTAGTTTAATTGCAAAAAATATTTGTTCCTCTTATCCCTTGACATATTTATAACCAGTCATATGCGCAAATGCCTAGCGCATGACGCCGCATAACTAACATCATAAGGTTAGACATTGCTTAATTTCGTTAGGTGGTTCCTAATTCAATAGTGAAATGCATTTTTACCTTAAGAGCTTCCTAAATATTTAAGCGGCAGATTTGGGCGACTATTAAATTTAGTGAAAACGGGCATTAGTTTAACTTTATTAATTTAGTACATTACAAGAACCAAAACCATTGATAAAATCAATAAAACTTTCTTATATCTATGGCTACTAGAATTAGGCAGTTGCTGGCTTGAACTAATGACGATTATTGAAATGTATAGCACTGGAACATTATTTATTGATAAATTATTTTCTTAAAAGGAAAGAGGCTTATTAAAACAATATTCATACAAAGTATTAAACATAGTTGATTCCCGTTGTCTGTTCGCCGAGATCTTATAAACTACACAACGAGTTTTAATGCGGTTTTATCAACATACCTACAGAGTACCTCAAAAGGAAGTTTTAAATGTGTATATAATAAAGGACATGGACGAACCCGCTGGCGGTAAGCTAGTTGTTTATTAACACACGTATTTATGATTATTTTGTCGGGAAGGCGTAGACGATTTTTCAAATAAAAAATATTGTGAGCTTAGTTAGAAAAATACAAGGTAGACTTTACAAAAAGTTGCATCTAAGATAGGTTACATAGAAAACGTAGAATAATGACTTTTCTGTATTGTCTCGGGTTTGGTGTTTGTGATACCTTCATTAGATACTCCATAACACGGGGGCTTTAGCTACTCATCTTAGAATCAGAGTGGTAAGTGTAAGTTTTACGCTAACGCGTTCACTAGTGTGCGCGTTAAGAATTTGTATGGAGATTTGTAGTTCTTGATAGTTACCGCTAGGGGCGCTGTGCTGAATTCCATACTAAAATCTTAACGCGCTCACGATCGACAGTGAACGTAAACGTCAAAAAAACTTACACTAAGCGCTCTGAGCATCGTATGTGATGTTGTCTAATATAATGCATTATTATACCAAAGAGTTAATATACAATACTATAGCAGGAACAAAGTATGGGGATTTGTGAATTGACAATACAGAAGAAGAGGATTTTTTAAATTAAATTTTCTAGGAAGCGGATATTAATTCCTTTTCCAAGAAAATCTTACTAAGCAGATTTACAGTTCCTGAAATTTGACGAATAAATGTATTAAAATATTCTTAATGAAGAATGTTCAAAAAATTCACTTTGTCCCTGGCACTCTGGGATTCATTAAGAATATTTTTCAATATAGCATTGTAAGTGCAAAATTGATGAAATATAAATATTAAAGTACTTTTATAAGATATGTTTATTGCCTACCTAAATACGTAATTGTTATACCTAATATAGGAGTTCGATGACTTATTACAAATCAAGTAAGTAGTAACCGGTGGTGGGTGACATCACGTGAAATTTAAAGCACTTCGTTAGTTTATAATCTTACTGAAATCCTTATAATTTAACCAGACAGTTTATAAACTGAAGATGTTTACAATTTAACGGTCATATAACCCATTCGGATTATTGACATTAAAACTTTCGTAGATATTATTAAACGGCTTATAAAAGAAATCATAACTCGAAAGGCATGCGGCAGCATTTGTAGCCGTTAATTCTATCAAGAAACAGCTTGAAACTCGTCGTCAAACGCAGCGCTGTCACGTGATAGAGCTTGAAAGATAAAAAATCTTTATTACTTTTAAAAGTTCAACACTGTTTTATAATAGAATATTTCTACTGCGGCTGCAATCTCGACAAAGTTTACGATCGTTAAGTAGTGATCGCTGAGTTAACTGGCACATCTGTTAAACTCAATCGCTAGAAAAATATAGGATATCGTTAATTTGACAGTTACATTTGGGACGTGCCTAATAAATAACAATATACTTAGCTGCAGAGGCTTGCAATAATCATGAAATTACGATCGCTAGAGTTAGCGACTGAATTCGGTAAGATTGGGATCGCAAACACTGTCGAGATTGTAACCTAGTGAATTTCATCCCACCTTATTAATTTAACTTTTATATTTAAGATGATAATTTCTTATACCTTTCTGAATATTACACGATTTTCAAGATGATTGTGAACTGTAAATAAGTAAGCTTATACAAGAGGGTAAACAAAATTCGAAATTTATATACTACAGCATTATTTTACGTTGTCATAGAATTCAAAAATTTCGCCACAAACATAATCACGTTTAATTTCAATTGGAGATATTATATTAAAGTATTGCTCTAATATAAGTGCTCATTAGCGATGAAAGTATTTAAAGAAATATTAAATTTAATTCTTTATTTAAAAATAGTAGAAAAAGTGTTATTAACAGAAATGTAACTGTGATAAATGTATAGAGTTTTACTTAATAAAGAATTAAATATAACTTTATCGGTGATGTAAATATAACCTATGTAATAATACAACTTTAAATTAAAAGAAGATAAAAATAACTATGCATGATTTTCATTTTTTTTTACCCTTTCCGCTGACAGTCATAAAAGAAAATTAATACATAATATAAATACAAAAATATTTTATTCTGCAAGTAACATGGTTTTAATACATTGTCATAACCGCTACATATTAAAACAATTTTAGGCACGCAGAATACAGAAATTTATACAAACATCAATTAATATGTATGTTATGAAAATTATTAAATGTACATCGACATATATTTCATTAAAAAATATTAAAGATGTCAGCTATCGTTAAACCGCAGAGTAAATAAATACATTATACACTTTATGTCACAAGAAAATGTTTAATACACTTTAAAATATTCGTTAATAGAGTAAAAACCTTTCTCTGCTAACCATTTTTTCACCTTTTTTGCAAACAGAGTGAATAGAAACACTCGTATGGGATTATTATTATATTTCAACTTTATCATTATATAATTTTACTAATAATCCGATTCCAATTCTCTAAAAGAAAAATACAAGTAAATCTCTGGCATCACAGGCAAATCTATAATTAAAAATAAACAAAATAGCTCTAACACTAATTACTTTCTTCTCATATAAATACTCAATTTTTTATAATGTTACCATAATTATTTAAAATGTCCCAAATAGAGACAAGTTGCTAACCTGTCTTCTACAAACATTATAAAGATTTTTTAGGTTTGGACGTTTGTTACTTCTTCACGCAAAATCTACTGAACGGATTTTGTAATAGTACTATAGTTAAATTATTTGTGTAACAGCTATAGTTTTTAAGATAAACGAAAACTGTGTTTTCAAGAAAAATAAAATCATGCAATTTTAGAAATAAATCACTATTTACAAAAAAGAAAAAACTTTTGTATAATTTTCTTGCTTTACCTTATTCATAAAGACTACCGTGAACATTATTCATGTGGGCATTTCAGTAACCATGATGGTCCTGCCACTGGATGAGGAACGATGTAAAAAATACCATGATAGAACCATACCCCTTGTTCTTCATATAGATGACTGAAATTTTCGAGGAAACTGACCCAATGACCAAAAAATAAGTTGCTGGAAGTGTGCAACCAGCTAAGTAGAGCTTTCATACTTTTGGTTCCCAGAAAAACGTATTTCATCCAAATTAAGTTATTCCATTTTTTCAATATAAAACTATTAATTTTGTATACAATACTCTTTAATTAATGTGTTAAGCACTCTCCGTGTTAAGTCGTTTTTTCCAAGTCCTCAATTAACATTAGTAGACCCCTTTTTATTACTTGAAAAAAGGTTATATTCTTCCACGTCCTGATAATTTTGTATAGAACGAAGATACTTGTGGTAATGACTCGTCACTAAAGCACAGGTCTAGCAGAGCTATATTATGGCCGGTTTAATCTGTTTATTAGGTACATACTTAACAATAGCAATAGACAAATAACCAATTATTACAATCTAAGTGGATGAAGTACTGCTACCCTTGATAGGTTATATAATAACCTGTAGTAAGGTATAACAGTCCCTTTCCCTTTGGATTTACATTAGTTAATGTTATACATATACAAGTTGCGTTTTTTTTTTTTTTTTACAATTAAGCATGCAAGTGTTAGTATTGTGTTTGTGTGTGTGTGTGTGTTTATGTGTGTGTGTGAGATTGTGTCTGGGTTCATATGTCAGGGTGCAGATGATATAAGTTATAACATAAGATCCTCTGTTTCAGCGTAGGTTTTATTTTGGAGATAATTCTGGAGTCTTTTTTTGCATATGTAGTGTGATAAGCCATATATTGAGCAGTTCAGGCTGATTTTATTATATAGATATGGGCCCAAGTAGTAAAAAAATTT